TATTACTTGTGGCTGCATATACTTGCGCAATGCTTACCTACTCTTTAGCAAGTCCAACAATAATCTTTGAGCCTTTTGTCTAAATAAGTTTTTAAAATTGGAACAAGACTCTTCTATAGTGAGCAAGTAAAACTATTATTTACTCTCCTTTATTTAGTGGAAAGAATATTCTACGATTAACTTATTAGGTGTCTATTGGGGGGTTTAATTTTTAGCTGCTATTTTTTTATTAGGATAAGTTTAGTCAACTATATTTTTACAAAAAAATTTGTTATAACAGAATTTTTTTTATAATAAATAAAAAAATAAAATTTAAAATCTTCTAATAAAAGTTTTTTTTTTAAGATATATATTTTTAAAGTTCTTATATTTATTTTCTAATTTTACTTTTATTTAAATTTATATTTTTTATTTTGCTCGTTACTTTAATAATTTATCTTAATAACAAATCTTTTCATCTCCTCATCAAAATTTTGAAAACAACTTTATGTAATTACCAAAAAAAAATTTAGCCTGTATTTCCAAAAGAAAATATATTTTTAGCCTTATTTTTAAAAAAAATTATTAACTTTTGCTTAAAAATAATTTTAATAAAAAAATGTCAAACAGACTTTAAACTAAAGGTACTTATTTTTTTTTGTGAGAATACCTTTACTTATTTATTCTAAAAGTCATATCAATTTAGAAAAAAAATTCATAACTTTTTTATTTTTTTGGAAACTTTTACTAAAACAAAGTGAAGCATAAGGAATCAGTAGCCGGTCCTATTTATTGTAAAGTGAAGCATAAGGGATCCTGTTTGGATGATTTTTTTAAAGTTAAAAATTACTTTTTTTTCAAAAAAAAAAAGCATTTTTATTCTAAAATGTCTTTGGATGTCTACTTTTAAAAAAAACAGAACTCATAAAAAAAGTCAAAAATCTGATTTTTTTCATAAGCTAAAACTTTTTACTTCTTAAAAAAGCAAAAATCAAAAGTCAAATTTTTTTTAAAAAAAATCTAAATAATTTTAACTTTTATAAAAAGCACTTTTAAAATAAGCAGGACATAAAAGTAATTTTTTTTAAAAGGTAATCCAAACACAGGGGCTTTTGGTATCCGGAATATTTTTCATTCCCCGATAAACCAACCTTGGCTACATGAGAATCTCGCGTTTGGTAACAAAAAAATGTGTAACTTTCCACACTAAATATTTTCTCCGGGGATGACTGTTGTGTGTAAGTTTTTGTACAATCCCCAGCTCCAAAGTTCCATTGATCAAATCCCCATGACATTCTAGAACACTATAGGCTTCTTTGGAAGGGTCTCCATCCGAATATATTTGATATTTGTTGGAAATTTAAGTAGGAGAGATAAATATTTATATTAATTAAGAATAAATTACGTTTGGATCATATTATTAAAATGATCCATAAATTTTAATAATGTCTTTTAATTTTTGATTGAGATATAATATCAAATTTATTTATTATGATTTACGGGTATAGTTTAGTTCTTTAAAAATGACCCTCTCTTATTATAGATTACCCTGATATCTTAAATTTTGATTAAAATGTGATGCTAAATACATAATTGTGAATATCGATATTAATAATCGATCCCATTAATCACCCAAGAGTAGGACTTCAATTACACTTTCCCAACAATATTTTGCATACAATAAAAGCTTTTTCTTACGCTTTAGAAAATATTGTATATTTTTATATACATTTGACACTGTTGTGCATGCAGTTTAACATAATAGTACCCGATATTCCAGACACAAAAATTAAAATATATCATTTTTTTATTTTTTTTTATTTTTTGGGTAGAAAAACATTTTTGACCTGCTGTACCATGAAAACTTTTTTTAGTCTGCACCTATTTAAGTCGCGCTAGTCTCCACTAGCGAGATCAAGTTGCTACATGCTGGATCCACTAGCTAAACCATTTTTTGCTTGTCTGTGTATTGAGACTCACCAGTCACCACTGACAGAATCTTGATCTTCTATTCTAAATTTAATTTCCTTTTCCATCTCTATATTTTCATTTCCATAGATTGTATTAAATTATCATTATTATTTTATTATTAAATAAAAAATTCATATTAAATTAATTGAGTCAAATAATAATTAATTATGTAATTAATAAATTTAATTTATATTTTAATTTTTTAAAATTCCATCAAATTTAAAAATATGAAATTTATCGTCCATAATATCTGCAAATTTTCTTTTTCTGTCATTGTTTGCCAAATAAAAAAATGCTGCAGAGTAGATTTTTTCCCCTGAATAACATCTCTTTAGAAATTAAACATGTTGTGCTGTGTATTGTTAAAAAGAAATATTAGAAAAATATATTTCATTTTTAACTATTATTAAAATATATTAAAGTAAGAGTAAAAAACGACATAAATATGTTTATGATAAAATACTTTATTTTAGTATATTTGTAGAGCATTTACAAATATTTTTTAAATTTATTTTTTTTTGGTAATAAATTTATCTGTTTTCAATAAACAAACACAAATATATATATATTTTTTGTTTTTCGGACAACTTATGATCAAAATGTTTTAAAAAAATAATGTTCTTGTTCGCTGAGAATCTTACTGATTTGGATACATAGGCCCACCAGGTTCAAGGCTCAAGAAGCGCAATGGTCTCGTAACGCGAGATGTAGACATTGTGCAGATTATGTTAAACCGTCTTATATAACTTAAAGACTAACCAAAGACTATGTAACAGGCTGAGACCCACCGCGCATAAAGACCAACGCACGTAAGAAAGCTCCAGCTTATCACCACTCTAAGAAGACAGACAAATATATAGACTTATAGCCAAAAAGGCACCAGCTAAAACAGATAAATCTGCAGCCCATAATAACCAATAAGAAGGCATGCCGCCTCTCAAATGTGGCATAAAGCTTGTTATAAATATGAAGGGTACAAACTCAGGTATGATCATCTGATTCCCATTAAATATAACATAAACCTAGCATCGATACTGACTTGAGTGTCAGAGTGTCTTTGCAGGTACACCCCTCATTCATTCCCAGTGCGCCAGCAATATTCTTCAACCTTCACATACACAGTGAACATCTCAAGCCCACAAAATACCACATACAGCCCAAAGTCTTCATCTCTTTCAACCATGTATGATTTAGCTCAATTCATATTGGACTATTCTGATCACTTATCATCAAAGTCCTCGATAAAAAAATATTATTGAGAACTTTTTCTTTCCTCACCAAAAAAAAAAGTTCTCAATAATTTTTTTTTTATCATTTCCCAATTTTAATTAAAATATTTTTAAAAATGACTTATAGAAATATGATGACAAATATTTTTATTAAGATTTTATGACAAATTATTTACATGATTAATTATTATATGATTCAATCAATTTAAAGTTAATTTCCAATTATTTTTTTATTTTTAATTTAATAAAAAAATAATAATATCAATTTAATATAATTTATGTGAAGTATAGTTTTGAAAGAGAAAATTACAATTAAGAAGGACAATTAAAATTCTGCTATATGACGGATCGATATTGGAAAAAAAAAACTTTTCACGATAAGATAAATCAAAAATAAATTTGAAAATTTGATATATTTTGATTTATTTTTTTTAATCTCAGATTCACAAATCAAACTTCAATTTAGACCCAAATCAAGCTAATTAATATATATATATATATATATATATATATATATATATGTGACGATCTATAGTTTGGAGGGATTAAGAGCAATGTACATGTGTCAAAGTATCTAAATTGTACTTCTATTTGCCTTAATTTAAGAAAATGAAAAAAAAAAATTATTGACTTATTTTTTAATTGTTCAATAATTTTACTACGAAATATCATTTTGACATCAACAATTTATAAAACATTAGAAAAATGGGAAAATAAATCGCAAGTAATTATGTAATAATGTATTAGATTACGAATTTAAGTTATGAAATAAGTTAGTAATTTTTTTAACATTATTGTTTTGTGCTAATAAATTATGGAAAAAAATGTTTATCCTTTTAAATGACACAACTTATATCCTTTCACTCTTACAAAGAGATGGGACCCACACCTTTATTTTTTTGTCAACTCTCTCTCCTCCTTTATCTATCTCTTTTTCTGTCTTAAAATGAGACAACTTTACATTCCTTTAAAATGATACACATTTTACCCATAAATTATATATTGTACAACCGTACGTAGGCGTGATAAAGTTATATACAATTAGGTTCTAGACACACCCTGAGTGTAACTATGAACATATCTCAAGTTAAAGTTGGGGAAGAAAAAGATTAAAATGATACTAATTAAGATTAGGTTCCCTTATTTAATTATATATATATATATATATATATATGTGTGTGCGCGCGCGTGCGTGTGTGTCCCAAAAATAATAAGCAACAAAGAAAGGAGGAGAAAACCGCGTAGCTAACTGATAGTGAAAGAAGGAGAAAGCAACACATATAGAGCCACACATAGACGTAGGACGAAGCAACCACGACCAATGATTCATAACAAAAATTCAAAACGAGAAACCGAGCTTTGCTCTAAGTCCATAAACACATGTCTTAGCTTTCGGAACCAGTTTCTGACCAACACTTAGCATCTAAGAAAGAGGATCCTTGTCCTTTACCCTCACTTTAATCACCTTTAACCTGTGACTCTCAAAGTGTTTCCTCCAGTACTGCAGATCACAAGAATATGTTAACTCTCAAAGTTCTTTCGATTACCTTTCTTTCCTTCATTGTTTCCTTGGCCATTGCCAACGACCTTAATATTATTGATGACAAGAATGCTGTGACTTATGATGGAAGATCACTCATTATCAATGGAAAACGAGAGCTTCTCTTCTCTGGTTCCATCCATTACCCACGAAGCACCCCTGAGGTACCTACCTTCTTCATCAAGTAACATCATTTATATATCTATAATTATATAATAACATTATAATATGATCATAGCTAATATGATTTTTATTTTGTTGTTGTTGTGTGTGTTTTTCAGATGTGGCCAGACCTTATTGATAAGTCAAAACGTGGAGGCTTAAACGTGATCCAAACTTATGTGTTTTGGAATGTTCATGAGCCTGAGAAAGGCAAGGTATGGATTAATTCTGGAACCAGAGATCGACCTACTGCATGCAATTGAAAACTCTGATTAATGTCATAGCCTGTGACTTGGTTTGTTTCATTATGCAGTTCAAATTCGACGGCAGGTATGATTTGGTGAAGTTCATTAAGCTCTGTCATGAGAAAGGAATGTATGTGACCCTCAGGGTTGGACCTTTCATCCAAGCTGAATGGAATCATGGGTATGACGTAAATTAATTTATTTCTCATATGCATGTTCTCGATTACGTTTATAAAGAAACAACATACAACAGATTTTGCATAATTACATGTTACATCAATATTTTATTGAGATTGTCTCATAACCTTATATTACATGAAAGAAAAGATCTCGTGAAGAATCAATTCAACCCAAAAGCTTAAGCTGTTGGGTGAGACTACATTAATAGTTTTTATATATCTCTAACGCGTCCCCTGACAAGAAAGCATATTAGGCTTAAAAGGTGGATAATGCATCAGGCTCAGTCTACCTGTACTAAGAAATTTCACACAAAAAATTGAGGGATCAAATCCGTAACACCGTAGCTCTGATAACATGTAAAGAACCAATTTAACCCAAAAACTTAAACGAGACTACATTAATGATTTTTATATATCTCAAAAGAGATGTATTCCCCTTACCTTTTAGTATTGTTTATTCTCAATCTCATGATAATGTGCTTCCTACATGTTAATATATCAGAGGACTTCCATATTGGCTAAGAGAGGTCCCTGACATCATATTCCGTTCAAGCAATGAACCCTTCAAGGTAATCAACCTGTTATATTCTCTATATATAACTCGCTGGCTTCTAGTTTCTGGAAAAAGAGGCTATAATTAAGTGATATTGTTTCCTATTTGCAGAAGCACATGAAAGAATACGTATCAACTATTATAGCCAAGATGAAAGAAGAGAAACTCTTTGCTTCCCAAGGAGGCCCCATCATCTTGGCACAGGTTCTGATTTTCCACATGATCCTTCTCCCAAAGTCTATTTAGTTTCTTCTAGAGTGCTCAACCTTATAAATAAACCCCTCACATTCTATCAATGTGCTGCAGATTGAGAATGAGTACAACCATATCCAACTTGCTTATGAAGCAGATGGAGATAATTATGTCCAGTGGGCCGCAAAAATGGCAGTGGCATTGGACGCTGGAGTTCCATGGATCATGTGCAAGCAGAAGGATGCTCCTGATCCAGTGGTAAGTTCATGAAATTGTTTAGGCACAATTTTCCTTCCAAGTGAGATAGTGCATGTTACCTCTGACCTGACCAATCTTACTTCATTTGGAAGATTAATGCATGCAATGGAAGGCACTGTGGTGATACCTTCACAGGACCAAACAAACCATATAAGCCTGCCATATGGACTGAAAACTGGACTGCTCAGTAAGTATACCCCTTTGGCCTTGCTTACCATTAGTGAACAATTTATGAGTCTTGGACATTTTGTTACACTTAAAATAAGACAACATAACCAACTATCATTATTTCTAGTGATAAGAAGCTTCTTGTCCTTAATCAAATATGTCAGACTTTTGAGTCCTACAAATGAAGAAAATAGAAGGACACTCGAATCTAAGACATGGTTTCATGTTTTTGCTTACACCAAGCACTAAGAATATTTGTTGGTAATTTGCAACTACAGGTACAGAGTATTTGGAGATCCACCATCACAAAGATCTGCTGAAGACATTGCCTTTTCAGTTGCCCGTTTCTTCTCTAAGCATGGTTCTTTGGTCAACTACTACATGGTAATGGCCTTATTATCATCCAAACTTCCCATTGATGAAACTGATGGGGCATATAGTGTTTCTTACTATACTCAATCTGAAACTCTTGTAGTACCATGGTGGAACAAATTTTGGGAGAACAAGTGCTGCCTTTACAACAACTCGTTATTATGATGAAGCTCCTCTTGATGAGTTTGGTATGCAGAGAGAACCAAAATGGAGTCACCTGAGGGACGTGCACAGGGCTTTGAACCTATGCAAGAAGGCACTGTTCTCTGGTGAGCCTACAACCAAAAGACTGAGCCAATTTCATGAGGTAAGCATGACACAGCCTTCTCAGAATTCCCATTCCCATGTTAGGAGAAAAAAATAAAAATAAAAATGTGTATAACTTTCAGTTTAAGCTAAGCTGCATGTATATATAAATTATGCAGATTATAGTGTATGAGAAGGCAGGAAGTGATTCATGTGCTGCTTTCATCACTAACAACCACACCAAAGCGGAAAAAACTATAAATTTCAGAGGCTCGGACTATTATTTGCCACCACGTTCCATTAGCATCCTCCCTGATTGCAAGACCGTAGTCTTCAATACTCAAAATGTATGAAACTTGTTTATCCCTTACGTTACATATAGAGAATTCACATTGTTCGGTGCTTCTTGCTAACTATTTTTTCATTGCCTCCACAACTTGTGAAAAAAAAAAAAAAAATCAGATTGTTTCACAACATAGTTCAAGAAACTTCAAGAAGTCAAAGGTTGCAAACAATCATAAGTGGGAGGTGTTTTCTGAGGTCATTCCAACTACCAAGCAATTGCCACCAACTAAAAAACTTCCTGCAGAGCTTTACACCATGCTTAAAGACACCACCGATTATGCATGGTACACCACAAGGTGAGTTCATCTTATCCCATGCATGTAACCGTGATATTTCATTCTCTCAGTTTTTCTCTTTATCCCCATCATCGATCGGGTATTTTATGCTACTGGTGTGAAATATATTTACTTGCAGCGTGGAATTGGGTCCAGAAGACTTGTCAAGGAAGAATGATATATCCCCGGTTCTTCGTATTATGAGTCTTGGCCATGCATTGCTTGCCTTTGTAAATGGACAATACGTTGGTAAGTACACATAAATTTGACTAATGATTAGCCTTCTAAGAGGAAGTGAGTCCAATTGTATATATAATATAGATTGATTCATGTCAAAGTGATATTATTCTATAATATTCATGTTAATATTTGGGTAATTGTCTTGATGGTTTTAAGGATCTAATCATGGTAGCCATGAGGAGAAAGGTTTTGAATTCCAGAAACCTGTAAACTTCAAGGTTGGAACTAACCAGATAGCTATCTTGGCTTGCACTGTGGGACTCCCGGTAAAGACTCACCAACATTTTCCTTTTTCCAAATTTGCAACACTTCTTAGTTCTTAAGTTTCAAGAAGGATTATAACATTTTTTGTTTCTCCTTTAATATACAGGACAGTGGAGCATACATGGAACACAGGTTCGCTGGACCCAAGTCTATAACCATCCTTGGTCTGAACTCTGGAACAATTGATCTCACTGTTAACGGTTGGGGTCACCAGGTATTAATTTGAGAAAAGATGGCATAAAATAAACTTAGTAAAATCACTATGGAATAGGTGAGATATTTGTATCACTGAATCGGTTCCAATTTGCAGATTGGTCTCCAAGGTGAGAAGTTAAGCATTTTTACTGAGGAGGGATCAAAGAAAGTAGAATGGAAGGATGCCAAGGGATCAGGACCAGCTGCCTCTTGGTACAAGGTAATGGTTATTGGATTAATGATTGTAATGTTGTTTTTATTTCTAACAAGATTCAATCAAACACCTTGAATTATTTGTGATTCTTGTATTTTATTTCACAGACACATTTTGCAACCCCAGAAGGAAGGGGTCCTGTTGCTGTCAAGATGAATGGTATGGGGAAGGGAATGATTTGGGTCAATGGTGAAAGCATTGGTCGTCACTGGTTGAGTTACCTCTCTCCTCTTGGAAAGCCTACTCAGTCAGAGTAAGTAAATCAATCACTGATAAACAAATGTTGGCCTTGAAATCCAAGTAAATGAAAAAGTTTCTCACTATCTTTCTTTCTTCTTTGTCCATTTTAAATATGTTACTTGTACCAGTTACCACATCCCAAGATCTTTCCTCAATCCAAAAGACAACTTGCTTGTTGTGTTTGAGGAAGAGGTAGCAAATCCAGAAAAGATTGTCATTCTAAATGTCAACAGAGACACAATATGCAGTTACATCACAGAGAAGCACCCTCCTAATGTCAAGTTATTTGAGAGCAAGAAACAGAAATTCAAAGCTCTTGCTGATAATCTGGGGCCAGAAGCTACGCTCAAGTGTCCAAACCACAAAACCATTTCGGCTGTGGAGTTTGCAAGCTTTGGTGATCCTGCTGGTTTCTGTGGAGGCTTTACTATGGGCAAATGCCATGTACCTGCCTCCAAGCAGATTGTTGAGAAGGTATACCTCTCATTTTTTAGCAAACATATCAACTATATATATATATATATATATATATATATATATATATATATATAGGGTTCATATTTTCTTATGTTGTAGGATAGTAAGAGAGAAAAAAAGTAGAGATAAGTTAAATGTGGGTCCCACATTTTATATTAAAAAAGAAAAGAAAAATTAATTGGCACGGAAAACGAATTTGTGTAGGAAAAAGTTCTACTCTTATGTAGAAGGAGAATATGATTTCCCATATATATATATATAGGGTCAGGATCATTTTACACCAGTGTAAGTTACACTCTTAATCTTGTCCGTTAATCCCACTTATATCTAACGGCTCAAATTTTTTAGTAATGTGAGCCATTAGATACCAGTGGATCAATGGTCAAGATTGAGTGTAAGACTTCTAACTCTTACACCGGTATAAGAATATCCTGCCCCATATATATATATGTGTGTGTGTGTGTGTGTGTGGAAAGATCCATTTACAAGTTTTTTTTATAAATTACATTAAGTATGACCGATCATATACTCTTAATTAGTGTATGACTGGTGAGACATAACGTAGTTTGTAAGAGTTTGTAAACAAAAAGTTTGTAAATATAACATGAAATTTTGACACTAAATTCTAATCATTGATTTTCGCTAATCTACAGTTCTCATTTATTGGGAATCAAACTTACTAATTAACTATTAATTTACAATAAATGATAATCGTTGATTCGCGAAAATCAACCATGAAGATTTAGCATCAAATTTCAGAGTTTGACATCGATGTATATGGAAAGGATCTGTTTATAAACTTTTTTTACAAATTACATTAAGTATGACCGGTCATACTTAGTGTAGTTTGTAAGAGTTAAAATTTGTAAATATAATATTTTCGCTGCACATATATATATATATATATATATATATTCTATCCTATGGTATAACAAATATTGAAGTTGATCACATTTTTTTATTTTTTTATTTTTGTGTGTGACTTGGAGCAGTATTGCTTGGGAAAAGAAACTTGTACGGTTCCAATGGACAGTAAAATCTTCAACCCTGATGGCCACGATGCTTGTCCAAATGCGTTGAAGGCACTTGCTATACAAGTGAGGTGTGGTACCGCCCAAAAACCTGCCAGCAGGTAAGGTTGAGTTGGGTGGCTAAGTTAAGTGATTTGATTGGTGAAGTGGAAATGCATAAGCTCAAATTTTAGTTAGTTTTTTTTTTAATTTAATTTATTTATTTAGCAAATGATATCTGAATTGGATGTCTTTATTTAAGAACTTCATTTTGTTTGTTTTATTTACATTTAAGAACAGAGAGCTAAATTTACAATAATTCAATTTTGTTTCATATTCTTCAGCAACTTGCCATCCTTCTTGGAATGATGAAATAAATCCCTTCATTTCCTGGCTCATTAAATTAAAGCACTTCAGGCTTAGCAATTTAAAAGGCTCATTATTTCGTTTATTACCCAAATAAAAAAGTTCCAAGCTCTTATAATTCATTAACATATATCAGACTTTTAAAAAATAGATGATACTTATAATTGGGGAATGCTATTGGCACACTATTGAATTCACATTTTTTTTTTAATATTTCTCACTTTTTTTATATATGATTTTCCTAACTTCCTTAGCTAGTTGTTTTGTTTCTCATCAAGAATTCTTTGGTGAAAATGTTGAATTTTTATGTGTAGTATTAGATTTTCAAAAAATAATTGTCAAAAATAATTTTTGTCCAATATTTTTACATTTTTATTTTTACAGGGTAGTGAAAATTTACATTCTCATGGCATTGAAATACTTTATCATACAAAATGTCCAAAATGTTTAACAGAATAATGTTTTACCTCTTAGTGTTAATCAGATTGTAACTGCTTCCTATTAATTCATATACGTCATTATAAGCAATTAAGTAATCAAAATGCAATATTTTTTCCATTTCAAAATTGGGTCAAAAATTGTAAAAACTAGTCATGGTTATTAATCAATCATTTAACACTTGCAGATTAAAACAAATTGCGTTCACTTTATTTTTATAGATGACGACTATGCAGTTCGCGTGAACTATGATCCTTTTGCAATTCCCTACAAAAAAAAATTAACCGGCTGTTTGGTTTGGGTTTTCTTTTCAAAACTCCAGGCATTACATATTGGTATTTTATTAATTTAATGTTTGGTTCAACCTTTTTTAAAAATTTTCCAGCCAACTATTTGGCTATGCTTCTACAATTATGTGCAAAATGGAACAATAAACCCAGACCAACAATGCCAGTTTAAAAGTGGTATTGTATGATAACTAGACAAATGTGGTATATAGAATGAAGGATTTGACATTACTATCCTTCTATTATGGGTTACTTTTGTAATGATATTAAAAATTATTGTATTGATATTAAAAAATTAATAAGGGGTTACTTTTGTAATTTTATATCATCTACCCATCAATATTCTATCATCAACCAAACATACATTTTATAAATCTTACTTAATTTGCCCGGTAAAATTTCTTCTAACCAAATAACTTTTTTTACATTTTCCTACCAAACTCACTTTTCAACAATTTTCCTATCAAATACATTTCCCTAGTATTCAAACAATTTCTTCTCAAGCAAACGCTCCCTAAAACTTTTTCAGTTAATCCCTAAAGTATAACTATTATCCCAATAGACCTTACATCCACCTTTCGTTAAGTCACTAATGAAAAAATGACAAATCTTAGCTCTTCATGTATTCACAATCCTATCCGTTGATATTTTTTATTAAAAAAATTCTAATCTTACCCATTTATTATTATTTTATAATATTAAAAACAACTAAAAGAAGATATATATTAAAAGAAAATATATATATTCTTCCCCCAACCAAGCCTTCCTGAGGGTCCCCAAGCTGCTCTAAACACTTTTAAGGAGGCTTTTAGAGATGTTTGGATGAGTTCTTGAAAAGTCAAAATCATTTTGCATTTAGATGTAACATCCAAAAAGCATTTTTAAGTAAGAAATAAATTATTTTTTTAAAGTCAGGAATATTGGCTAAAAAAATCAGTATTTCAAGTTTTTTTTAGCTTTTATTTTACTACACCGTCTAACATAATAACATACAAATACATAATAAATTAATAAACACTTTTGTTTTGGAAAAAAAAAAAATTCCAAAGTCAGCTAAAGGTTTCACAGTGTGAAGAGTCTAAAGCTGATTGAATTAGAAGAACAAATTTCCCAATGCAAAGGTTGTTTTGACAGTTTTATTACCTTCGGCCTTCGGAACTGCCATCATTATCCAAAAGAAGCAATTAGGTTAGGAGAAGAACCATAGCAATAACTAGCAAAGTTGAAGGGATAAAAATAAATTAACGAAAACAACAAAGCAGACAACACCCATAGCACACAACGCAACCCAAAAAACAATTTAATATGTAATATATCCATTGGACTTTAGTTTTGAAGGGTAAAATTTGGACAACAGAGAAACAAAAAAAAATTCAAATACTAACTTATTACATACAAATATTGAAGTTAGATCAAACACTTCTCCAAAATACGGAATCGTATTCTGAAAAGGATATGACTGCTACAAATAATTTCTCTTTCTTGCAACTGAAGAGACATATATCCCATAATTATAATGTCTGAATTGATTGTAAAAGTTTCGAAGTTTGTGATAGTGAATCATAAAAAGGTCAAAGTTTAAGAGACTCTGATACTCTTTTCCTGATTTTCATTGAGTGGGAAGGGGGAGAAAAAGAGAGAGAAGCTAGATTTTTCTTCTTCTTTTTTATTGTAGGAATTTATTTTGAATTACTGTATTCAACAACCAATAAAAATTAATTATGATATTATTGTCAACATATCATTGAATTATAATATAACAAATTTTATACTAACCAATACATCAAGTTTAAACTCTTTATCATCGAGCTCCATAATATATGTATGTTTACAAGAAATATTATTATGAATTTCCTAATCCTTACATGGAAAGAAGACTTTTAACAACACTCGAAAAATAAATTAATCCAAATTCATATAAAATTATTTGAACACAACTTCAACGCAATACAAAATATAAATAAATGTAAGCCTTTTAGTTTGGTTTGGAGGCTGCGGTATGTTGAATCGGTTCAAGTAGACTATTTCGGCTTTTTGACTTTGGTGATGTGATTTTTAAAATGTATGACCGGAATAATTTGTGGGTCAAAAGCTTTGTCAATATAATGGATAACAACGCGGTTGAGAAACGGACGCTTAAGGACATGATAGAATCCATGCCGTGTCTTGTACAGTCTTTTGGAACGTGATACCTTCCCTACCACGTCCAGTACAGCTTTTAGCACGGTAATCGATGCTCCTAAGACGTGATACCTTACCTGTCGCGTCCTGTAAACAAACAATGCCCCTTCTCTTTCTTTCTATCCGTTTCAACTTTCAATTCATTTTTTTTGCATTTAATAACGAAATTTTGGTAAGAGAACTTAAGTGAACTACGACATTTTTGTTTGCTCATATCATGTATTTATTTTAATTAAAAAAAGTTCTGTGGCACTGTGCAAAGTTGTGAAATGCTTAAAATAAATATCGAACAGTAATGTGTCAACAAAGAGATGACCTATGAGTTGTACAATTGTTCGTTGGCTCTGTCTAGCTAGGCAAAGAGTACTTTATTTTATTTTATTTTATTTTATAAATATATATATCGTCTGCAAAAGATAATCTTGTTTGGGACGAATCCATCATTAAAGTTTTAAATTCGGCCCGGCCATTGAAGTGGTCAAGGGTCACGGGTTCAATTGGGGGGTTACGGGGTCACTTCACTGACCCGGTTTTAAACATTAAAAAATGTTTAGATACACAAATAGAGAAAGGAGATCCCTTACTCAATAGAGAATAGCGGAAGAGAGACGGCGAAACGAAAAATTAACGGTGGGGAGAGAGAACCAGCATGGTGGAGGAGATCACTGGAACAAGGAGACTGGATCTAGAAGATCGGAACAAAATAAGAAGAACGAGTTCAAATTTCAGATCTAGTTCTAAATCTAGGCAACAACGAGTTTTTGTTTTTATTTTTTTTTACACATCAAACGACGTAATTTTGTGTATAATTTTTAAATATATATATATATATATATAGTGGCCTCTCTGAACTCGTGACTCCCGGATCAGAATATACATAAAACTTTAAAGATGGATTCGTCCCAAACAAGATTATCTTTTGCAGACGATACATATAATTTATAAAATAAAATAAAGAAAAGTACTCTTTGCCTAGCTAGATAGAGCCAACATACAATTCATCACGTCTTAGGAGCATCGATTACCGTGCCAAAAGCTGTACTGGACGTGGCAGGGAAGGTATCACGTTCCAAAAGACTGTATAGGACGCGACATGGATTCTATCATGTCCTTAAGCGTCTGTTTCCCAACCGCGTTGTTATGCATTATATTGGCAAAACTTTTAACCCACAAATTATTCCGGTCATACATTTTAAAAATCACATCACCAAGGTCAAAAGGCCGACTATTTCGTATTGAGTTTAAGCAAATATTTTTTTTTTCTGATATGTATATATCAGAAAAATATTTCTGTAGTTAATGCAGGTAAATTATCTGCATTTACTTCCAAAACGATATCGTTTTGGGATTGAAAAATTTAAAAATTATAATTATAAAGACTATAATAATCCTGAAATAAACTAAAATTACAAAAACACCATAATTTTCGTCCCAAAACGACGTCGTATTGGGCTTACTGCAGATAACTTATCTACAATAACTGCAGAAAAAGCTAACCCTATACATATGTATATATATATATAGAGAGAGAGAGAGAAATATTTTTCAAGCAGCTTGAGATAAGTTTATCTCCGACTACCACAAAACTACGTCCTTTTATTTATATATTTTCTTATATCAATTGATTTACCTTTGAATGGTTACGATTCTCTTTTTTTTTTTCTCTTCATTTATCACCATTGATCCATCCTTGTACGGTTATGATTTAGTAGCTGAAAATAAGATTATCATGAGAAACGATAAGCTCATATATATGTATGAAAAAAACATTTCTCCGGCAACTTGAGATAAGTTTATCTCCGGCCACCCCAAAACTACGACGTTTTGTTTATTTATTTCCTTATATTAATTAATTCACTTTTGAATGGTTATGATTTCTTTTTTCTCTCTCTTCCTTCATCACCATTGATCCATATTTGTACGGTTATGATTTAGTAGCCAGAGATAACTTTATCTCCAGCAGCTTGAGAAATGATAAGTCACACACACATATATATATATATATATATATATAGGGTTTGATGTTTGTCATTTTAAATTACAGAAGTTATGTCATTTTAGGAGAGAAATAGACACAGAAAAATGAAAATCATGGGAGAGAGAAAGTGGATGATTTTTTTAAATTTAAAATTTAAATAATTTTTTTTCTGTATCTGTCTCTCTCTTAAAAGGACAGAGTGTATGTCATTTAAAATGACACATTTTTCCCATATTTATATAGGGAAAAATATTTCTCAAACAGCTTGAGATAAGTTTATCTCCGGCTACCCCAAAACTACGTCGTTTTATTTATTTATTTCCTTATATTAATTGATTCACCTTTGAATGGTTATGATTCCCTTTTTCTCTCTCTTCCTTTATCACCGTTGATCCATCTTTGTACGATTATGATTTAGTAGCCGGAGAAAACATTATCTCAAACAGCTTGAGAAACAATAAGCTCATATATATATATATAAGACAGGATCCTTTAACACCTCATCTGAGAGCCATTAGATCAATGGTGTCACATGCTTACAAATCAGAGTCGTTGATCTTTTTTAATCTAACTGCTCTCAGATGAGGTGTCAAACTTCAAATTTAACATCGGTGTCAAAGGATCCTACCTACATATATATATATATATATGAGGGAAGATATTCTTACTACCAATATTTTCTACTACTAAGTTAGTACCTATCTAATCACCATTGAATCAAAGAGAGAGAAGGCTAAAAAAAAATTGAAAAAAGAGAAAATGTTGATCTAATGGTGATTAGATAGGTAGTGAGTTGGTAGTAAAAAATTTTGGTAGTAAGAATATTCCTCCTCTCTCTCTCTATATATATATATGGGTTTTATAATTCTCATTTAACATGAGAATTACAATTTTCCTACACACCATTCAATTTCCGTACTGACATGGGTCCTACATATACTTTTTTCTAACACATGGGTCCCACATGCTTTTTATATCTCCAACATGAGATTTCAATTCTCCTTCAACATGAGAATTATAAAACCCTATATATAAATATAGAGTTTATCATCTATCATTTAACATGACCACAAAAAATTTCCTACACACACAACATTTTGTGGGGCACGCAGCAAAAAAAAAACAAAAAACTTCGACACGTAAAACGAATCTCTATTACATAACACAATCACTTTTCCTACAACATAACTCTTACAAAACCCATAAATATATATATATATATATATATATATATATATATATATATATATATATATAAGCTGACTCGAACCTGAGATGATAAATAACATACAGATTCCTTTCTCATATGAGCTAACATTAGTCATTAGCTAGGTTTATTATTAAGGAGTGTCCACAACAAATTTTTCTCATTTTCCAAAAATGATGCATGGAATTAATAATTTTAGGATTTGTAAAACATAAATAGAAGCATCTTTGGGCATGAAATACGAGATCATCCCAAGCACATACAACCTTTATATCAGAACACTTGACCTACCACTTCCTTTATAAATTATTAAAGTTAACATCATGTACAAGCTGGTATCGTATTATTTCACATGCAAATAAACAAACAATTTTACACTTCGTGAACGTTTCAGACTAGTTATCTATCTAGGCGTCCTCCATATAAAAGCAGCCCTATGCTCAACGGCCAAAACCCAAAACAGAATGGAATTACACAGCTAGCACCATAAATTTATTCCATGTACGAGTAACTAATTTTGGGACAGCAATGGCGAACTGAATAGAATCATCTATAAAAATTTACCACAATGAAGCTCCACTTGACTGGAGAACTTAACAGGAAATAATGAAATCATAAAGCATAGTATTTCAAATTATTTCTATCACTTTACCATCTTCCATCCATGTATAATAATAACTAACTGCCAATAATTTGACTTGAAAACAGAATGATAAAAAATTTAGGGTAGAAAAATAACTCAACATTCCTATTTTATTTACACGTTCTAACAGCTAAAACGAGCTCCGCAAATCCCTTTACACCTTGAAAATGTGGCGATTCGATTCAACTGCCATTTACGGAGGAATTCATATTAGTTTATCAAATTAAAATAATAATCAACAAATTGTGCACATGCTGCAGCACAGTCGACAATACGACTGATCTAGAAATATCAAGAACCAACCAATAGCTGAGATCCCAACTCACTAACAACAATGATAAACTCACCTGAATTATGCCACAACCGTTGATGAGCGCCCCAATGATGTCATTATTTGAGAAGCAAGTAGAAAAGTACATGCAACCAAAAAATAATTAAGCCTCGAAAGTAAACCCTGATTCATCATATTAACATACAGGGTCAGGTTGGTTAGCTCCAGAAACTCATGATAAATCAAAGGAACCCTGGCCTTCACTGATTGCATAGAGTAGCTTCTTGTACATGATTTCCTGTTTTAAATGGACATCGAAAATCAGTACCAAAAGATGATTTGACATGCAGGATCATATAAACAACAACGCTACGCTGCTTTGTACCTTGGTAGAATAAGGAGGAAGCTTCAGGTAATTAGCACACGTCATCACACTTGGCAAGTCATCATCTGCTGATTCTGAAGGCCCGTTGCCATTAGATGAAGCATTAGCTGCAGTTGACGAGAGCTGCACCCAGACATGTAACCACATATTAACATTAAACAAAAAATAAAAATAAAAAATGTCATAAATAAATAACTATGAAACTAAGATGCAACAAGAACAACTAAAGCAAAGTATCCATTCCTTTAACTTCACTGAAGTCAAGTAAATCTTTTGCATATCTTGTTACTTCTATTTTGACAGGCAGCCAATCAACACACACCATGTTACTAAAAAATTATGTTTATCTTAAAAAATGAGCTGCAATAACACTGGCAATAACAAAAGTTCTAATAGCACGAATAGAGCATATCTGCACACCCCCACTAAAAAAAAAAATAGCACTTAAAAAATTCAAGATATCAAGTACAAAATTACATGAAAGCGTGAATGAACTAGAACACGGACAGCTCGTGATAAAAAATATATTTCTAATACCTTCCTCACAATAGTTAGTTTTGGATTTAGAACAGCCAGTCCACCAGGTGGCAGCCTAGGTGCACCAGTAACAAACTGACAAAAGGCACGCTGCTGCTCCGGTGTGAACTCTCCCATAATTTCAAGTAACTGAAATAGCACCAAATAGAATGAGCATCAAATATAACAAACCTAAATTTCCAATAATACACAATTGTCCCTATACAAGGAAAAGAATCATACATTAACTATGGCAGGGCTCTTGGCAGTATACCCATGGTCAAATTTTATATGATCAGCTAGTGTCTCAGCCTGCAGAAAATACAAATAAACTTATTACATTACTCACGGTAACATTTCAAATAATGTTATAAGCAATAACAAATTTGGATTGAAAAAATACCTTCCACAATTCTCTACGGCCGCAAAGCAAATAGTCCAGTTCTTGGGGAGAGAAAATTTGTAAAGATGAGATGTCAAAAACCTGAATTGACCAGCACAAGAGTGCAAGTGACAAATGTTTAGTTTTTCAACTCAATTAAATGAAAAAAAAAATATCCAACTAGCTCTTCAAACAATTGCCCCGCTCATCTCTTCCGTATTCCACATAAGAGAGGCAGGCAGAATATCTTCACCCACTCATCACCAACAATATCTTCAGAATGTGTCAAATTTTGACAATCAATCACTGAACATTTCACATCAGGGGAAAAAACGTGCATTTGTTTTCTACCTTCCTCTCCTAATGTGCAAGGGCAAGGGGGATTGGAGGTTTATTATAGCCAACATAAGTAAAAGAAGAGGAACAAACATTTTATAATTTCCCAACTGATACATTGAAATATGATATTTGAGACTATATGTAGTTCACTGCTTAAGACATAACAAAAGCAGTAACTTTTAGTAGAACACTAAGAATCTAAATGACATGTTACCCAATTGAAAAGGAACAAACATATGTAGTTAACTGCTTAAGATATTACAAAAGCAAAAGCAGTAACTTTTAGTCGAACACTGTAAGAATCTAAATGACATGTTACCCAATTAAAGATATGCATCAGATAAAAACTCAGCAACTAAAAGCCCAAGGATGGATATACTCAATACAATCAAATTAAATCCTAGTTATTTTTAAATAAAATTGTGGGAGAAATAAGAGAAAAAGGAGTGGGAGAAAAGAATGGGCCATGTGTAAATAAATAGACCAATGTTGTTAAGATCGAAGGGGTTAAAAAGATCATAAATCGTAAGATCGATGCGGATTGTAAGATCTTACATGTGGATATTATTAAAATAGCATGAATTTTTAGAAGGGATTTTTTTCCAAGAATATGAGGGTAACCTTTTATATTTTAAAAGGGGCTAACCTTATTATATTTTATATTTTAAGTATGAAAAATATTTAATTAACTAAAACTGTATTCACAAATAAAAAATTTATATTATTTTATATTTTACTTATTTTTCCATAGAAAATATATTAATAAAGGATAGTAATTAAAATTCTCTTTTTTTGTAAGCACTATACTATACTATAATAACAATAATAATATACTAACTTCTTTTGTCATGAAATTTGGTATTATGGTACTAAAAAAAAAGACATTTTTTTCTATTAGTGTGTCCGAGAATAAAACATGTCCAGTCAGTTTCTTCCTCCACCAGTCTATTCTCTCTCTCTCTCTATCTCTCTGTCTCTTGCTATCTTTATCTCTCCAATTATTTTATCTATAAGTTATAACAACATTGTTTAGGAGCATTTTAAGTCAAAATATTAATAGTGGCACTTTTTAATTAAGGACACTTTTGACACCACGTGGCTGACTACGAAAAAAAATTAACGGGAGAATCAAGTGGATGGAAGCAAAACAGTGGAAGAAACAAAAAGATACATGGGCTAACCCACTTTTATCCTTCAAACAAAATCTAGGAAATAAAATATAAGCATGGAAAGAAACACTACAGAGTCGATGGAAGCCAAAACGGTGGAGGAACTCAGTCCAAGTTCGCAGAAGATGCAAGCCAATGCAGGTCATAACGTAGGAGAAGGTCACATTGTAGGGAACGGTCACACATCGTAGACAGAAGGAAAATCAAATAAGGTCATCACAGACAGAAGGGAAACCATAGAAGGTAGAGGGAAATTGCAAAAATAGGGGTTCTACTTTTACGAAATCGCAGAAATAGGGAAATCGTAGAAGAACGTCATGGGTAATTGAGTACTTTCTTTGAATCTGGATTTGTTTTTTTTTAGAAACGATGAAACGGTGGGATTGAACAATCCCATCGATTTTACAATCTTCCCTGTTGATCCCACTCCACATCGATCTTACTTCCGATTTGGATCATTTTTGGATCAAAAATCGTAGAATCATACGATCATACAATGTACAACGCGATCTTGACAACATTGAAATAGACGCAGCCAACAACATTAATACCAACTTTTTAACCACAGTTCAAAAAAAAGAAAATACCTTACTCTGCATCACGAAACAAGCCCCACAGTTAAATGAATTAATTAAGATCAGCATATAACCTGATTGAACCCAGCTCTAAATGCATCCATCTGACGGGTGATTCCAGTCTTGACAGTTGCATCAACCACCATGGATACGTACTCCTCCAGATTATTGATGTCAACCTGAAAATTTTACAGGAAGTTCAAAGCAATTTTCATAATTAGAGAAAGAATCAGAACCAAAACAAAAACCAATAAAAAAAATGGGATACACTAACTCAAGGTTTAACTACGTACAATCTCATCTCCTGGTTTCAAGATGTACTCTGGATAACCAGGAAGTGTAAAATCTAAGAAGAGATCTTCAATTGGGGCCCCTCGAAAATGTAAGTTAGCAATGCTATCAGTACAGCCACTGCCAATAGATTCTATATAATGTTTCCGGCAAACAAGAGCATTCAACTCTTCCAAAGTTTTCCCAAGCTCAGCATCAATGAAAAGAATGTCATGCAAATCAAGCTCCTGCAATAAATCAAAAGCTAAATATACAGTGACTCAAATAAAATCAGACTTTAGAACAACTATACACATTAAAATGGTTAACTCATCAACATTGCATAACAACTTACTTGACCCAAAACAAGCTTATAAAATGCCACTGACAATGGTAAATCCAATAGGCGTCCATCTTGAAGAGCTTTAGCCACTACACGGCCTACCAGCCGGAAATATTCAATCACTTTAAAAAACTGGCTACCCTCTGATGCATCAGCATTTGCAGGCCAAGGCCGAGGAAACAACCCAAGAGGAGTTTGAACAAGTTCTCCATCTCCAGCAAAAAAACCTTCACTGCTTTTCGTTTTCTTTTCATCTTCATCAATTTCCATTCGATAATTCTCTGAAGAACCTGATCTCCACATTTGAAGTACAACTTTTTGTAAATCATGACTTAGAAGTGTATAGAACTCAAGGGTGGGACCCAAGCCAGTACCAACTTCACCAAAATATTCTACTTCAAGTACAGCCTTTTGGCTAGAATACATCTCCATCACTTTAGCAGCAGAATCCAGAACACGGTTTCGAGAGACACGAACCTTTTGACGCTGCAACCTCCCAACCCTAACCTCCCTTTCATTTGTTGATCCATGACCATCAGCACCCTGCTGTTGCTGAAGTCGATACAGTGCACGAGATAACCCAAAAGCAGTTGAATAAAAATACTGTCGCCGGATCTCAAAAGGAAACAAAAAAGGGCATGCTTTGGTTAACTGGTAACACCACGAGGGAAGACTCCCACTGCATAGGGCAAGGGCATCTTGTATTTGCCTAGCTAATTTTGGAGTAAGCTTGCTGCTTATAAATTCCTCTGGCGGAACCCTAGCACCAGTTGCAACGGCTAGCTCATCTAAATCCAAAAAATTTCCCCCAGCAAAGCTATCAGTAACCACCTGGGCCCTCAATCGAGGTGCAAGCTGGTTCAAACCCTCTAGCACACGCAATAGTGCCAATATATTGTATGTAGGATTAGATTTTTCCAGCTCACAGGGCAATTCTCCCAGTAAGATACTATCTAGTACAGATGTTTGATGCAGCTTGGCTTCAGAAATGGAATTTGGTACAGACCCAGATTTGCCAGATTTTGAAGCATTTGAACTTGAACCTACAGTAGAAGCCTTATCTGTTTGGTTCTCTGCCCTCTGATAAGTTATAGTGTAAATATCACCCCACAGCCTGCTTCCATCACTGGATACATATTCGCTACCAGCAAATCTCTCATCATCATCTTCATCTAGCACAAGCTGTCTTTGAATTGCCTGATATATAGTCAAATGTCTATTAAGCTGCTTCCCACCAGCAGTAAAGATCAACTTCGGAGGATCATTAGAATTACAAAACAATGGACGTCCTTGCCGATCTCTGCCGCCCCTGATACCTCTGCTATTAGCAGATCCAAGTCCAGCCATGGCAGCAGCAGCAAATGACATTGCACCCGTTGAGCTAGAAGAATAGCCACTCCTAAGATCAGCCAAGTCTGATCCCCTGACTGCACCAACTTTGCTGCTAGAACCTGAGGCTGCATTAGTCTGACCATCACTTATAGCAGGAGCAACAGTACCCTCCTCAACTGAGTCACCCAATTTCACATCATGTACTTTGTCAGGCAAGCCAACGGGAAGAGAATCATCCCTAAGCACCTGCATCAGAAAAATTAAAAAAGCACAAAATTTGTAAGAATAGATGCAACTGAACTTAAAGATAAAGTTCAATCTTTGTTAACAAAAACTAATGATGGTTGTAAAATTTTGAAAAAAAAATAAAAGCAGTTCTGTTTGATAAAATCTAAAAAAGATAGGACAGCAGCAGTGGTTGTACAGGTGAAAAAAAAAATAAAGATGTATACAGATTTTAACATATCAAAAGCAATGTTAAGCATTAAGAAAGAGAAATGATGTCAGAAAAGCAAAGAAGACAATAACATAATATCCAGTTAAATGAGATATTGATAATTAATAAGGTAATGAAATATCAGTCAAAGAAGAAGAAGAAACACTAGATAATATACATCTTCATGGTCATCATCTTCATCATCAGAAATATCATCATCTTCAATCACCAATGCCTCATCGATCTCAACAGGAGATATATCCAAATCTTCATCCTACAACATAGCAACGGAAAATAATGTCAAAAGAGAGAAAAAAAAAGATAAGAAAAAATAGCTATTGCTAATACTAAGATACTTCAGGAGACATCGATTAAGTTCACGATTTGATACAAAGCAGAGCCCAAAAAAAATCGGCTTAACAACCAAGTGGAGCCCTATCCACTGCATATAGTGTGTGTATATATTTTGTACTCGGAAGATCCTACCAACAGTTTAACAACCACAAGAACCAAGCTAAATAACATTGAGCATGCATGTAAACACTCATAATATAGAGGAAGGGAAAAAAAACCAGAAAGTATAACCTGGATAGACAAGTAACCCCACCCAAAAATACATCTAAAATATTCCTTAATAAGACAAGCCTACAATCTCATAATGTGAAAAGTTTAATGTCAGACTAAAATAATCAAAATGTAAACTGCACACATCAGTTGGTTTTGACTTTTGAGTAGCATTACACAAATAATCCTGACATACATGCATTTTGGTATATATGTAATCTCCATTTTAGAATAAAGAAAACCAGGAAATGGAATAATCAAATGTAGTTCCTTTTAATTTAATAGTTTAAACTTATTTGACTTTTTAATTTCTTTCACGAGAATTGATGAATGAAAAACAAAACCAAAAAAAAAACATGAATCGTGTGATTCATATCGATGATATAGAATCACAGCAATTCACGCATGTATCATACAATATAAAATCATCTCTGATTCATCACATGATATGAATTGCTACCTTACCAAATCGTATTGAATCATGTGATTCTAACAATCATCTGAACACTTCTGCAGGGAATTTTTACAACAGCTTAATTTTAATATATGGAGAAAGAAATTAATGATGTCAAAAAGCAACTACTCTAACAAAATACTCAAAAGAGCACTTAGGCTAAGTTAATAAAAAAGGGATGAATATAGTTTAAATAAGTAATTATAATCAACAAAAACCTATAAAACTAAACCGCAGAGCTAAATCATTTGCAGGATCTACTGACATCAAAATCTAGCATGTCCAAAGCTACATATCCACAAATAGATTTCAGCTGTCTTTTCAAGTTTGCCATGCAAAATGTAATAAAGCATCTTTTAGGTATCTTAAAATGGCAATAATAAGTATCTCCTTTATATTTCACTTTGAAAGTCAAAACAAACTGTAAAAATGCAGAGCGAGATCCACCTCAAACTCCCGCCTTCATGTGTGGTCAAAGAAAAAAAAAATGAAGCCTAGACTCCAGATCACCAGAAAGAATTGGAGGAAAGAGCAAAACCATAAAAACCATCCAACAAAGACTAAAGAATTCAAAAATAAACATTGACTGGGGCAAACAAAAAAGATTGTAGTATCATGAACTAGTGCCCAGGATTTCACGGTATACCTCAGAAGTAGAGTCACCATTTACAGGTTTCATTTGAGTATCTTTACCGAGAGCTGCTCTTCTGCGTGCAGCATTCCTGGTTTGAGGTCCTCTTGCCTCCTCTTGTGCAGGCTTTAATACAGCTTTTCCCTTACCCTTAGATGAGCTCATGCTTTTATCTTGAGTTATTTCTTTTCTGGGCGTATCACATATATTAACAGATGATCTGGATCTAGTAGAATGGCGGCGAGTAGTGGAAGGAGTAGAAGGGGAAGGAGATGAAACACCAGCTCCTGCAGGAGTTGTCCCAGATTCAGAATTCCCAGCGGGTACAGTGGACTTCTGACCAGATTCACTTCGCTGGATACGAGGCCAAAGAAATTCTTCAATGGCTGCTAAACTTGCTAAAGGATCAATCAATACAACATTGGAAGAATAATCCCTAAGGGACTTTTCGCCCTGGACTCGACAGAGACGCAACTTGAAGGGCTGAGATAATGCACTTAGTCCAGAGGAGAGGCGTCCACTTCCACTAGATGACCTAGATGAATGACTCAGCACAACAGGGAAACGCTCCAAGGAGGACAAAGCATTTTGAAGCTTCTGGACCAAGACAGTCATAGGAGCCACAGCCCCAATGTCAGTACTGGACGGTAGCGCAACAGCTATAAAAGACTTAAACCTTTTAAGTGCTTGTTGGTGAACATTGGGCAGGTGGGTTTCTGATGTTCGATCTTTAGAGAAATACCCACAAGAAAAATAATTCAGCAAAGCTGCAACAACACCACTACCAATAAATTCAAAAGTAGATACACCATCTCCTTTGCCAAGTTCCTCTAGCATGTCAGATATCACCCCAATCAAATACTCTTCCTTATTAGCAGAGTTCTCTACCAAACCAAATCCAGAAGTTTTAGATTTCCCCTTCCCATTAGTCCTTTGGTCATCAACACCAGCATTTAACTTCATGCAAAGATTTTTCAGATGCAAAAGATCATCGGTAACTCCAACTTCAACAGCCCCAGGATCTGAAGGGAAGTACTTATCTTTAAAAGTTCTAGCAGCTGCACTAACAGATAACCGGATACTAGAATTTACTGTTGGAATATCCACAGAACTTGGAGGTGAACCAACATTTACCGAAACTGGGCTCTTCAAATCATCCAAAGAATTTCCATCAGGATTAGAATTACCACTGCGTCGCCTATAACGCCTGGAACGAGATGATGCTCCAGATACAGAATCATTATCCTTCTCAGTGGAAGATGCTTGAGTAGAGACATTGGTTGAATTTCCAGCTAAAATAAGTTGGTCCACCGCATGGACAACACCTTCTCTGATAAACATCTTAGAGAATGTCCCAGGAAGTTTTTCCATAAGAATTTCAGCAATTTGCAAGGCAGGAATCAAAACATGTGGATCTTTCCATGCTAAGACGCCAGCTAAGAAACTATATGATCAGAGGGGCAATGCATAAGTTTTCTAAACCCATAAAGGCAGTGAAAATATCAAACAATATCAACCCAATTAAACTTCTAGATACCTTGATATATTTGTTACGCTCAACAAAGACTGGATCATCTCTGCAGTGCTGAAATACATTAGTTTTCCAATGACAGAAAGGCATTTGTGCCGAACAGGACCATTGACACTAGAACCATAAACCTGTTTAAAAAGCATGCCAGTACTATCAATTAGCCACAGAAGAAGAGGAATGAAGAAAAAACGGAGCAATTTAACAGAACTAATTTCTTTTAATTTAAAAAATTTATGAAATAAAATTTAAGTATTTGATCAACACAACAAAAATCAACCTGTATTAAAACTGGGAGGAGATCCATCTTAAATTGCTTAAGTAGCTCAGGCTGCTCATTTAATAGTTTCTCACGAGCCGATATCTCAGGAATATTTCCATTTGTGTCTTCTTGTTTCCCAGAACTACCACCAAGCGTCTTTTTTATGACAGGCCCTTTCACAAACAAGTTGGAGCTGACTGGAAGGGAAATTGTTCCTTGCGGCAATGGGGGCAGAAGCTCATTTGCCAGATTCACAATCTCAAATATCTGTATGTAAGAACAGACAATTAGAATAATTACATCTCTTCACAAAGGTAAAAGAACTGAAAATATCAAGGATTTAAATGATGAATTTAAGGTTAGAATCTATCAAATGAACCATAAAGAGATGAAACTAAACATGAATGACCAAAAGAAGAATTCTGAAGTACCCTATACCTGCTCTGGTGGCCTACTCAATGCAGGAGATACAGAGCTATTAGAAGAAGCTCCAGAACCAGATAGAATATCTTTAAGAATGCCACTAATTCCAAGGAGAAGTAAAGTTTTAGCTCCAAGAGGGGACCCACTTGCACAAGTAGAAAGAAGTCGGATTAAACCCTGCATATACCTTTAAAGTTAAGGACCAACAACTAGAGGCAAAAGCATCAAGTGATAAATAAAACTTCAAGCAAAAATTGCACTTACAGTATACGTTGGCGTGCTGAGAGAAGCCTGTCCACCTCCAGAACTGCTGTTAGAAATGAGGGAAGCTGCTTGTGTAACCAGTCCATGATTGCACAATTCATCTAATTTGTCTGGAGACAATGCAAATGCTTCAGCTATTCGAGTCAAACAAACAGAAGCATGCTCCAGGACCTACAGAGATTAAGAATGCATATGATGAAGATATAGCTAAATAACTGATAATACGGACGGACTATGGGGATCAAATTTTTCCTCCTTTCAAACAAAACTTCCTTAAAAGTTAAAAATATAGCTGTAACAACAAAAACACAGTTTTCATTATATGACAAGTCTGACAACAAAACATGACCTTACCTTGGAATCATGGTACTGAAGGAGGTTTGTCAGGAGAGGAACAGCTTCCATCACAAAGTCAGCTGCATCTGAAGGAAGCTTCTTGCACATATTTGCAGCAGTAGACAATGCAACCCGCTGAAATATACAATTATGTCAATATATGGTTGCTCACTAAAGTTACCTATCGCCAAAAGAATTATGACAGTCCACGATTATAATGATCCTCTAAATGTAGGTATGAAGATTTACCTGAACTCCTGTTGAGAAGAAATCCAAATAAGACAGCACTGCCATAAGAGCACCAGCTCGTAGGCAGGCAGTTGGGTGCTCCTGAGATATCTTCTTTAGAGCTTGAAGGGACTGTTCATGTCAAGAATCAAAGTAATCAAACAATAAGAATCTCATTTCCAGAATCCAAGGCCATTGATAAGCAAATGCATACACTTAGACACAATAGAAAATATAACTTTGGAACCTCGTTCTAAAGAGTTCTATAAACAATTACAATTACACATGATCAGAATTCAACACAAAACATGCAACGTTTGTTCTAAGTTCCTAATACCGGGTTCAACTACACTAATCATATAATAGTAATGAATGAGGGAACAACCTGCTCCGCCAAGTCCATATACTCTATGGTGAGCAACCTGGCGCAGAAGATTGACACTGCCCCATAATGCACAACAGCAGCACAAGATGAAGGGAGCACGTCACAGAGATGGGTTAGCGCCCTGGCTGCAAGAAGCATGATATCAGGATTGCTCTCGTGATTGAGCAACCCAACGAGCACGGGAACAAACGAATCAACCGAGAAAGTACTAAGGGATTCTTCGGTCCCAATGGAAAGCATTTCACAAAGCTGCGTCAATGCCTCAACCTGCCTCCCTTCTTCCCCATCAGCCCGCAACCCAAACAATATTTTCTTCAGCCTCCCACTCTGATGAGACGACGACGTAGAACCCATTGCAGAAGACGGAAGCAGATCATCCAAACCCGCACCAAGTTTCCGAAGAAGACCTTGAAGTGCACTACTCGCAGAAGTCAAATTCTGATGCAAAATCCCCACGCCACCCTCACTGTCATCGTCACCGTCATCTCCAACACCACCGCTCTCAGCCATCCCCCTCTCAGCAATTGCATCCCTATCCCTATCCCTATCCCTATCCCTAATCCTAACATCATGTTCCTTCTCCTTCCCCTTGTCAGAATTGTCCCTGTCCCAATTCCTGCCTCCGCGGCGATCCCGGCGCGAACCGGAAGATTCGTTGGTGGTGTCCATAGGAGGAGGGTTTTTAGGCAGCAAAGGTTCCTTTTCCTTTTGCTTCTGCTTCTGCTTTTCCTTAGTCTTAGATGCGCGGGAACGAGTGTTGACAGAACGAAGAGGAGCGGTGGTGGTGGTGGCGGTGGCGGCGGAAGAAGAAGAAGAGGAGAGACGGGCGCGCTTGCTGGAACGGGTGGTGGGACCCGACGAAGAAGATGAAGGGGCAGCTGAGGAAGCCTCCGCCCGTTTCCGACTACGAGTTTCCATACAAAAACCCACCCACCCCTCTATCTGTCAACTCGCTCGCCACCGAGCGCCAATTACCCTGTCATCGACGCAATAATCCCTACCATTCGATTGATATGTAGATCGAATCTTTGTTCAATTGAATCAGCTCCACAATTCCAAACCCTAGATATGATGGATTTTCACGTTTGTGTGTGTGTACAGTGAGATTTAGTGTAATCAATAGCGACAAAGATTAACCAAATAAAGGGCTTGTTGTATGAAAACCCTAAGCCAGAGAATGGAAAAGAGAAGGTAGAGAGGGATGGAGAATAAACGGAGCCAGAAAAATACATGGGCTTTTATATGTAACTTTCTTTTGTCTTTTTTTATTTATTTATTTTTATTTTTCGGCGATGGATTGGTCACTCATTCTCGTCAAACAGCTCGCTACGCTCGGTGGCACTACCGCAGTGTGGCGCGTACACTTCATTCCAAGCCAACGTCATTTCGACAAACTACACCACAAGTGTATAGCAATCTTTCACCGTAATGGATTAGGATTTTAAAAGATTTTTTTAAGATTAAAAATTTTATAAATTTTAAATTTTAAAAAATTATTTAGAATACGAGGAACTTTAAAGTTTTTTAAAATAAAATTTTAAAATCAAGATTTCATAAGATTTGATTTTAAAGGATTTTAATAAAATTTATAAGATTGAAAGGATAATACGGAATTATAAGATTTTAAAAAATTATTTGAATTTTTAACAAACATTGAAAATTACAAAAGTCAATAAAAAAATACAATGAAATTAATAAAAAAGTAAAATCTAATATAAGATTCTTAATCAGTAAATCATAATATTATTTTTAACAAACATTCAAAATTATTAAGCAACAACTTTTCACATATATAAAGTTATACTAGTCCTTCATACATTATCATTTTCTCGTTTATGCTCTTGGTTTGACCGTTGAAAATTATCTTCTTCATTTAGTATCAAAGCTATGCATACATGATTATAAGATTCAAATTTTTTTAATTATTAAAATAATTCTAAATTTGTATATAGAACCTATAGTTCATGATAAATTTTCGTTTGAAATTTTTTCCAATTGATCTTGAAAACCTTGAGATTTTTGTTCTATATGATGAGAGTTTTCTAATCATATATCATATGCATATTTTCATTGAATATTCTAAGAAAATTTCGAATCTGAATTTTTGGGTTTTATTACATGAAGAAAATTTCTCAATCTTTTTTAATCGATATATTGAAACCTTAAATTGCTTTGGGCCTTTTGAAAAAATAAATTTTTAGTTATCTATCGACACAAAAATTGTTTGAAATCATTTCCTGTAATGAAGGAATTTCATTCAGAATGTATTGTTACGGAATATAGGGTTCATATTATGAAAGTTTTAATCTTTCTTTAAATTGATATTGTTTCATTGATGTAAAACAAAAATTGATTTGAGGGTTTTAGTTCCCCTGTTATTTTTCCATTATTTTATGTTATTTTTAATACAAAAATCATATCTTTTTGTGCCAAGAAAAATCGCAACCCATATCTTGAAAAATCACTTTTTAAACTTCCAAATTTCTTTAAAATGGCTAAAAAAATGCTATTTTTGAGATAGATTATATTAAAATCTCATTGGTTTGTTGTTTTTGGGTTGTTTTGTGTTGAAAATCGCTCAAAAATATGCTATTTTTGAGTTTTGACGAAGCTCCAATGGCAGAACCCGATTTCGAGCGAGTCAACCTTCCAAAGGAAAAATAAAACAAATATCAGGTGAGATTGTGAGAGAGCAATCCTATTTATATTTCTTACTAAAAGTCTCACGAAATCGACACCATTAGAAAATCCATTAAAATCGTTAGATTTTTGAATACCACAAGATTATTTTTCCATTGTTTAAAATCTTGATTGAATACCAACGAATTTGGACGGACTCTAAAATAATCTTTTAAAATCCTAATCGAATACCACGTGACTTTTTTCAATTCATTAAAATTCTAATTGAATACTAATGGATTTTTTTGTCCAAAAATAATCCATTAAAATCCTTTGAAATCCCAATGCAATACACTCTCCCCTTAACCTACTCTTGTGATATCGAGAGATTTTTTTTTAACATATTATATCGAGAAATATTTAAAAGGTTTAATGTTTTTCTTATTATAAAAAATAATTTTATCTCTTACATATTCATAAAAATATATGGATCCCATATATTTTTTCTTCTCTTTATATGGCCTTATACACTTTTATGTATGCATAAAATCTCCTATAACATGAAAAATACTATTCCTATATTTAAATGTGCTAAGTATCTACTTAAAAAAATGTACTAAGTAACAATATTTTATGGGATTTGCATTTGTCATTTAACATGACACAATAAATTTTCCTACACACACAACATTTTGTGGGGTCCACACTTTTTGAAGAAAAAAGAAAAAAAGAAAAAGAAATTACGGCACGCAAAATGAATCTCTATAACATTACACAATCATTTTTCCTACAACATAACTCTTATAAAACCCATATTTTATATCATATATTATTTAATGTATCATATTAATTATAATATTAAAAATAGTTAAAGTAAAAGACACTGATAAATAACAGCTTTCACCTGGACGACCTTAGTTCATCTTTGCCTATAATGAAATATTTTTTTAAAGGTTTTTATTTAGCATAATTCTTGAAAGATTTGTAGAGTAATTGGAAATACCTAAGGAATTTATTTAGCACTCCACTTATAAAGATATATATCTCAAAAAGATCGGTGTTCTCAACTGAAATGGACCTATCCATGCAGGATTATTGGCCCAACCAGTAAAAGGTCCAAAGAGCCCAAAGATTATTGCTTAATAAGGAAGAAAACATTGTTATCCCGCGTATCTTGATAATACCACAACCACCTAGCACATAATACCATTTGCTCGGTCAATTATGGTTACACAATATCAGCTACTCAGCGCATCACTACTCTCATGTGAACCAATAACCTAATGACAGACACATGCATACCACCACATCTACAAAAGACTTAGCCTAGTCATAGGCATCTCGTCCAAATAATAGCCTTTGAAGGTTACCACTCTCCACTAATAGAAATGAACACGGCCATATCAAGGTGGCATAATAGGACGCTCATCTACTATAAATACATAGGCATTAAGCCCAGCCATGATCAGTTTCCTATCAATACTTGAATATATATTGACTTAAGCATTGGAGTGCCTTGCAGGTACCTCCCTCAGTTTCTCCAAGTTAGATCAAAGTCTCAGTCTCATCTCCAACATCACGCAAAGGATCTCGTCAGCCAAGTAGGCATCTCGCAACAACATTCCAATCATACCCAACTTACTAGCAGGCTCAATCATGTATGATCCAGCCTAATAGTTATTGGATGGACCATTAACTTATGACGGTTATCCAATCTAAATGAAGCTTTCTTGATAAAAGTTACACATAGAAATTTTGTCAAGCTTAAGGATTTATGGTTCCAAATTCTCGTTGGTAAATATGGGGAGAAAGACAAACTTCTAGCAAATGATTAATGCAACTAGCCCTAACTCAAATATATGGATATAAGTGAGTGCAATATGTCCTCAAATCATATGAAACATTATCCCCCCCAAAATTAGGATAGTACTACTACAAATCTCTAAGAGGATGAACGACTTTATAGATTTAAGGAGTTAAAATCACATGCAAAAATATTAAATGTCCCTTATTACTCAAGAAATGAATACGGTTGTACCTAATTACATCGATAAGTAAAATGAATGGAATTTTAGTCAAACTATGTACTTTCCTTCCTACCAATGTCCTTTAAGTTTTCTTAGCTACATTTTCCTTAAATAGAACGGTGTAATAAAATTAGTTGGGGTTATAATTCATACGAAAATAACACAATCAAAAGTACATACAACGTATTACCTCAATTCTCCAATGAACATTAGAAATTTTGAAACACTATAGTATAATAAATTTATTCAGATATTTACGAACAATCTTGAAACACGGATTATCAATAACATCATTTTGAATTATGGATTAGAGGATAATATTTTGTAGCGTGACTTCTTCAGGGTGAACATGGTTGCCACAACAATGGAGGAATAAAGAACTGTATGAAAAACACTACATTAGACCTCGCAATGCAAAATTCTACATCTAGGACCATATGTATACATTATCAAAGCAAGGGGACAATAATTAAATCGGCACAATAATGAAAATAGAATTTAGACTTTGGCCAACTAGAGCTTCCCCTTTAATTGAGGATATGGCTTGTTGTAATCCATTATGTGCTCATGGTTGAATTACATAGCTTACTTACTGGTAATTATTTGGCCTAAGGATCAATACTCAAAAAATTTAGATCAAAAAGTGACTAAAGAATAAGAATAGCATATTGAGTTAGATATAGACCAGAAGGGGTGAATTTGGTCTAAAATTATACAACAGTGATGATTTATTACATGAGGATTCATTATCATTGCGACAGCCCCCTTTTCTCCCTTAATTCGCCATCGTCACTGCCTCTGTTATGCCTAGAGGAGGAAGACAAAGCAGATGCCACCTTATGTTCTATATACTCAATGAAGACTTTACCTACTTCTCAAGCTCCTTTGTTTGTGTGTAACGATGATCGGAACGTAAGAATGGAGTTAAGGTTTTAATCCAACAAACCAATGTAGTGTCAGTGAACCAAGGTAACTCGTCTTTTAACTAAGACTTTCTCTTTATTGTAATGGAGCCTTTAGAATGATATCTTATCCTTCGAGTAGAAAATTGCATCATTAATAAGGCGGTGGTCCCAAGCCAAGTTGAGATTCCATGAAGCTTTGTTAAGAAACAAATTAAAGAGCATGATGAGGTTGCTATAAAATGATTCTCCACGAGGAGCATGTCCAATTGTGGGCTCATTCATGTGTCTCTTCCTATAAGGCAAGTATCACGTCACGTGGAGGATGAAATGGAGTATTCTTGTAGCAACTTTCGCCACATACCAAAAGAGTTATGTACACAGTCCATGGAAGTCTCTAGATGGTCATTTATGGCATTCATCACCTCTTCCTCATGCAATACGAAAACAACACCATGAATCCTAATTGGGTGGCCAAGTATAATAAGATGTTGCTCTGAATCCCCACAGTAAACAATAGCTTTAAATTACAATAACAAGTGATTAATATTTGTTAGCATGATAAAAAAGGCTATATTGATATCGATGGATAATGAACTTATTATTCTATTTCGAATCCATTATTGTTTAACACTAA